TTCGTCCTTAGTGCTTGTCGATGTAATACTCTGAATCTCAATATATATATATATAATTATTGTAGGAGATACTACTTACAAAGACTAATCGTTGACTCGTCTAGGACTCTGATAGGCGGATTGTCGTAGCTCCTTTGGAACAAGTAACTACGGTTTCTTGAACTGTGTTAGTGGACATACGGGCTTATGTCGTCGTTCTTCCGGGGCTTGTAACTACTGTTCCAGTAACAGTGTTAATGGGCAATTCGAGGAAGTGTAAGTCGTTCCCATAACAACGTTAAATGAACTTTCACTAAACTTAACTGAGTATGAAATGTCTCAAAGGTATACTATATTGAGAGAGTATTACTAAAAGAGAAATATTAAGAGTATACTCAGAGGGAAATATCAAGAGTATACTACTAAGTAAGAGATATCAAAAAAAGAGAGACACTTCAAAAATAGTAATATCACGAGAATACTACTAAAGAAAAACTATCAAGAGTAAATATCAAGACAGTTAAATATCACGAGAGTGAAGTATCAAGAGTAAATGAGTGTTGAAAATTGCGCCCCTTAATTACATTTTCTGATTATGAATTTTACTTGAACTCTTTTTTCTGTCCAATCAGAAACTCCTCCTTTGTAGTGCAAAGGCAGTGCCTCTTTTGATTTCGGAGTTAATTAAGGGCCTAATCGTCTCTTGGTCTTCATGACAAGCACACCTCTCGTTGCTGCTGCCGCATGCGACAGCATGCCCTTAAATATCAGCGTGGCGACTTACTTAGCTGACAACAAAGCATCGTTGCTATACTGGAATCTTTTTTTAATGAAAGTTTTAATGGAAGTTTTTTTAATGAAAAAATTATATTCTTACCATTAAGCTATACATATTTTTTAATTGAAAGAAATTTGAAATATCATTCATGTATAGATTATCTAATCGTTAGATTACTTAATTCTGTATTTCGTTTATCATTTTTTTTATACTAGAATATACTTTTCGTTTATATGTTTTTTTTCATACATTGAACTCTACTGCTACAATTACAGATCACCTACTTTTACACAATATTAACTTTTAAATTCATTTTTTTTACCTTTTGTATTACTGTACATTGATTATGCTATTTAATAATCAATTTCATCCAAATTAATCTTTTACATTTAAAATTTATTAATTAATTATTTACAGGCATTTATATTTATTAATTTTTATTAGATAATTATTAGTGTTTATTATCATGGTAATTATAAACAATAATTATCGGCTTATATGAAATTTAATTTATTTCTTTCATCCCATTTATATTATTATTATTTATTATATATTTTTTTATTATAATATCTGACAGTGTTACAAATAACCAAATATTAGCGTTAAAGATGAGATTATCAAATCAAATAAATTGTTCTATTAACATATAAGAAATTAGCTATTCTTAATGTGCGAAATTATCTAGCTTGTAATTTTTGTATAATTTGAGTGCAATTGATTCTGATATTGAAGCTCTTTGAAATGACTAGTTATTGTGATAAATCAACAACTCCTTATCTAAATATGATCGATAAAGAATAAATTTTTATAATACGTTATAAGACATAGAATATAATATCAATCTAATAAGATAAAGTCGGTTTTGCGTAAGAAATAATGAATTGAAATACAAAATTCCTGTAAATAAAATATTAGAATTGTTTTCTTTTAATTGTAAAATGTGTAAAGAATTTTACGGAATTCTAATTTAAATTTAAATTGTAGGAATACAATAAAGTATTTCAAATTAGAATTGAAAGTCTAAATAATAATTCTTAGTAAATAAATAATAATATAAATATTCTTATTCAATAATTTTTATTAAATTCTGTTATTTTTTAATTTTACCGTTTATAAGTATTATAGTTACTTGTTGAATTAAAAATATATTCTTAATGTTGTATTATAGGAAAATGTAATTCAATGCTAATCATAATATACCATCATTAAATATGAATCATTACATACAAATTTTTATCTATACGTCGACATAAGTAATAATAATCTGCATGATAGTCAGAAAGATAAATTAAACAGTATTAAATTATTTGATGATACTGTACAAACATAAATTTTTTACAAGATTATTTGAAAAATAACATATATGTATGTCTCTCAGAAAACTAGTCACCATAGAAATCTGTTAAAATGTTTTTTCGATTTGAAATAAAAAAATGTGTATAGATCATTAACAACGTTTTGGCGGTAATAATGTTCATGATTCTGGACGTTGATCCAATCGAAGAAATATATAAATATATATGTGCAATATAAAGTGATTCCTAATTTTCGTGCAATGTCAAATTTTCTATCGATGTGGCAACGACAGCATCTAAGCGAATTTTTCCTTTCAGTGACTCGTCGTCCAATATTCAGTAAATAGTTTTCTCCATGAAAGAACGCAGTTCAAGCTACCTTTTTATATTCTCAACTAGTCGATTAGCCTGTCAGTGGTCATCAACCAATGAAGATTTTATTTCTTATATTTTATCCCTCATAAAACGAAATTGTCCTTAATGTCATTGACATCAAGTAAAATTTCTTTTTATTTTACGGGAAATTGAATGAGAAGTAATTAAAAAATTCATAATTATTACTTATATAAACCTTTTTTAAAAACTTAATTTTTATAATTAATATATCGTTCATATAAAAGAATACAATTTTTGATAAATTTATCATTAACACTTCGAAAAATCTAATTTTCCTCGTAGGATTTTATTTATTCAAGAAAACCAAGCGGTTTTCTTCTACAAGATATAAGCCATTTTATCTGAGATCAGACTAAACGCTTCCCTGAGATGGTGAAGGGAGGCTTGCTGGCAAGTGGAATGTACAATGCAATAATTCAATACTGTCTTTGTATGAGTTGGTTTTCCCTTTATTGAATATAATGATATAATAAATAATTAGTGGTCTATTGAGGTGAGATTGAATAGATGATACACTGAATAGGTGAGAGTTTCTTCAGGTGATATGAGTGATGATAATCTTATAAGTGTATTCTTGAGTATGGCGCATGACTCTCCTACTTGTGGTTAGGACTCGTAGTGGTAGGGGGAGATGCGCTGATAAAGGATGATGATGCCGTGAAGAGGGTCACGGTGTGATAGGTGAGGCTTTACGCCACCGATTGCCGCTACCGATACGCTGGAGAGGCCTGGGTGGGGCGCTGGTGCGTGACGTCACTATTGAGGAGAATTGATGCCGCCGTTACTGCTACCGATAAAGGGCAATGATGATGCCGTGAAGAGGATGCCACCGATTGCCGCTACCGATAAGCTGGAGAGGTCTGGGTGGTGGCGTTGGTGTGTGATGTCACTGATGAAGGGCAATGATGATGCTGTGAAGAGGATGCCACCGATTGCCGCTACCGATAAGCTGGAGAGGCCTGGGTGGTGGCGTTAGTGTGTGACGTCACTGATGAATGGCAATGATGCCATGGTCTGGGTATTGCTGCTTACTTAGTTCACAGTGCCGTGTGTTAGTGATTCCTAAGAAGGTGTGTAATAACGCAATTACGTGTAATTACGTGTGGAGTCGATCTTGGTGCATTGATGATACGTAAGGACGTGTGTAATAGCGTGACTTACGTGTAGTGAGTTTGATCCGTGTGATGGTACTCAGAGACTATCTCTGTAGGTGAGGGCGGTCTGTGTGAATTGAAGGTGATCTCTGTACAAGTGGCGTTGACTTGTAGGACGATGATTTGTATAAATTGAAGGTGATCTCTGTATAAATGGCGTTGACTTGTCGAACGGTAATTTGTGAATTGACGGTGATCTCTATGTAAATAGCGTTGACTTGTAGAAAGGCGATTTGATCTTGATGACTGCTTGATTGAACTAGTAAGAGGGCGAGAGCGTCAAGCGCGTCTCCTTAAATATTATAGTACAGGCTTGCGATTCCAGTGAATTCTAGATTGCTCTTGTCATGCTGATAGTTGAAGTGACGTCACTAGTATCTAGCCTTGGAGAGTTCGTGGGCCCTTGTTAGTCGGAATTGTAATGTGTAATGTAAGTATTGAAATTTCGCGATTTTGGAGAATCGTGTTTACAACTTGGCGCGCAATATTTTGACCTAAGCAGGTGTCTTTACCTCTCCCACTTTTTTTACCGCGTAAAATGCTGCAATCCGTAACACATTTAAATTTACTTTATTAAATTTCAGATTTTAGAAAAATTTTGAAAAGTTTCATATGATATTTTCGATAAAAATTAATATTTTGTTTAATGTAAATGAAATAATTAATAGACTTTCACTTATTTTAATCTACTGAAATCTTATTGATGAAGAATAAATAAAACATTAGAAAATTATTTATGTATTGATGCTACAATTGTACATGCAAATGTTGAACATTTTTTATTTGAATTTGGTATAAAATCATAATTATAATAATTTGTTATACATAATAGGTGAACATGTACTGTCATTATTCAACTAGATGAAAAGGCAATCAAAATTCAAAAATTTAGCTTTTTGAAATATTAATTAAAATTATTGAATGATATCGAATAACGTATGAATCTTCGTTCGAATTGTTGAATGCACAATTTAATAAAAAGTGTTATAATTGATTTTAATTTTGAAATGAAATGTGCATAGAAAACGATGCATATAAATTTTATAAAATCAACTAACTCGGTACATAATTTGTTCGATATTGCGAGAATCTTTCCCAAGTCGTTATACATCTGGAAAACCCAAAATTATTAAACAGTTGTTAGACTTCTGGAAATTCCTGCTCATAAAACATCTGGCAAAGATGTCACTAAACATCTGCAAAACAAGTCGTTAAATGCGGGAAACCCAGTTCATTAGGCATCTGGGAAGAGCCTCTACACTAAAAATTAAAAATCTAGCGGTATCACTCGCCCCCACTGTTATCGAGTCTGCCATGCGGCCGCCAGAGGCGCGTCGAGGGTAATCAACTCGGGAGTCCCTCTTTGCGCGAAGGTCTAGAGAAGACTGAGCTTCTTGATTATTGGAGTGCCACTTTAATTAGTTGTTGTTTTGGAGTATTTGCACTTCCAACAATGTCGACGACACAGCTTCCATGTATGATAGAAGGCACGGTTAGAGGATAATTGCTTCCTTCGTCTTCTACCAATTGGAGTAATGTACTGACTGCCAGAAATGGGGCAGCCTTTATTCCGTGGGTGACTGTTGTAAAGTGGTATGGCACTACTGCTCCTTTCTCGTCTATCCATAGAATCATCTGTAGGTCACAGTCTTCTTTATGAATTTTTGTAACCTTTGTGATGTCGGTGGCGAACAGATACCTTTGTCTTCTAATGTAAATTAAGATGTCTGATCTGTCTGGATTCAAATTGGATCCAGTGAGCATGTTGTTATTGATTCTTAATGTGGTTATTTGTTGTCTGGTTTAAGCACACCGTGATGTGATGTGACAGATAATGTTGGGCCTGTTGATTCGATATTGGAGGAGTCCTTGTCATCTGATGAAGATCCTCATGTTCCTTTATGAACTTTCAATATAAATCTCAATACTCCTGATTTTTTGGATTTGCTGCTTTGAACGAATTACCAAGGCGATTGGCAGATTTGTTACACGGAATTCGCACTGTACATATCCCGGAGGTGTCACGGGAAATAAGCATTCTTGTACTGACCCTCGCACTGCTGTTCGTCTGGTGTGTATTGGTTGCCTTCGCTTGGTTCAGTTTCTTCTTGGACCCAAAATTTTAGCAGTAATTGATGCACTACTGTTTCATTATCCCGTGTCATTGCTTGATAGGATGTCGAATCCACAATCTTCGTGAAGTCGACGGGTTCTAGCACTAGCCATCCAAAAACGGATAATTGTGCGATTGGCATTGATGGCGAAGGGATGATGACATGGGGTTTCATGACCTGTCCATAGGTGTCTGCTCCAAGAATGAGGTCTACTGAGCGTAGTGTGAGATACTGCGGATCGGCCAGTGTTAACCCTTTTAAATGAGGCCAATCCGGTGAAGTTATTTTGAATGAAGGAGTAATTGACGTCAGACACTGGAGTTCGAATGAGTTGAGTGGACTGTAAGTGATACTAATCCTTGCGTTGTTGTTGACATAGCTCCTCCAATTCCATGAATTTTGATAATAGAATGTTTTTTAGGAACCTTGATTTGACTGACAGGGTTCTCGGTGACAAAGGAAAGTTCAGAACCTGAATCAATCAGAAAAGAAGATTGTTTAAAGATGGTTTCTACCGTATTTTAGCCATGGCTGTTGTGTAATAACCCAGTATCTTAACGCTTGCTTCCTCAGGTCATGTGGCCATTGTGTATGTGGCAGTCCATTGTGCGGATGCCTTTGTAATTCCAAGAGTTAGCTTGTGGGCAAAACACTCCTGATGTTGCTTTCTTAGTGCTCTTTGGGGTTTTATTGAACCTTCTTTGTCCAACATTTTCCACGTTTACTATCACAAGTATTATATTGTTCTGCACAGAGGTGGGAGTTGGCGAATTTCCTGTTACTTCTTGTTCCTGGACTCTTAACGCTAAGTTGTTACACGCAGAAATGGGAGAATGCAGGCCTCTCGCTGCTTATTAGTGTAATACCACGTCTCGTAGCAAATACAGTAATGAAATTGTAAATGATAATATTAACATTCTCACCGTTGCACAGCACTGTTGTGATGCACTAGCTTCCACTATATCCGGGTAGTCGAGGATGAATTATTCAGTGATTCAGCTGTCCGGCACTTCCCGTTAAATCTGCTATTCGACGCAGCGGCTTTCCGGATATCTGAGTCGAAGGATCAACAGTCCGATGATCCGGGTCTCCCAATATCCGGCTCGAAGGACCAAATGTTCGATATTAGTGATGTAATTCTTGGCTCGAACTGCCAATGTTTCAATAGCTTAGTTTGCCGCCCATCTTAGCAGATGCTCGGTAAAGAGATAGATGGAAGGGCTTGTACAAGAATCGTGAGGGTTGATTAATTATACATTTATTATACAATTTATTACACAATTTACATATGCGTGTTGTAGAATCTTCTTGAGTCTAATGCGAAGATACGATGTCTTGAATGGTTTCTTGTATGAAATGTTTCACTACACAAGATATTCTTGAGATCGTTTAATTGATGTTGAATTGAAAGATTCTACAAACAAATAATTACTGCACACTCATTGTCAGAGGGTGTGAGATAATGTTAATGGTCGTGTTGTGCCGGATTGCCGCTGGCTGCCAATAATTGAGTAGATAGCGCGGATTTGTGTATTCACAGCGATACCGTAGTCTTGATCTGATCCAGGGGTGAGTGGTTCACCAAGGCACGCGGCAAAGCAAATGCGTGCAGGATGATCTTTGTACTCACAGGGATACAGTATTCTTGGTCTGGTGTTACGGATTACAGCAGTTTTAAGCGGTTTACAAAGTGGAAGAGTTAAAGACACCTGTGCTTAGTTAGAAACATTTGCGCGCCGAGTCATAAATACAATTCTGTGAAATCGGGAAACTTCGATAGGCAAAATATTCGAATATTACATTACAATTCCGACTAACAAGGGCAACGAACTCCCAAGGCTAGACTCTAGTGACGTCATCGTCAACAATCGGCATGACAAGAGTGATCCAGTAATCACCGGATTCGCAAGCTGTCCTAGGATATTTAAGGAACTGTGCTTGACGCTCTCGCCCTTGCTAGTACCAATCACGCGCTCTTCACATCAGGCTCGCTATCCAACCTGCAATCGCGATCATGAAATCTTAGCAAGCATCAAGCAACCTAAAGAACTAATAGCGATGTTAGCAACCAACTTAAAGTAATAATAACAAATTATAGATTACGAACAATAATATTAATAAAAAAAATACGCGTAAATGGGATATTTGACGTGCATGCAAATCAACAGCATAATCCTAAACTATGAGCAAATAATGGCGTCGCTAAAGTATATGCATATGACATCCCGAAATCCTGGAGAAGTAAGTGACTGCCACTTTGATGTCCCGCACCGATAATGATCCTGAGGCCTACCTCCTGTGTTGATCGATTTCCGGACTCAATGCGAACTTTTCGGAGCTTCTGTTTTATCCCATTAAGTGCCAGTGCATCTTCGGTTTATATTTAGTCAGAACTCTTGGGTTTCTTCATTCAAAATAGTGAACGTTTATACATTAGAAAACATATACATTCATATTTTGAAATTGAATATGATTGTTATAAAAATAATTCAGAAGAAAGCATATTTATTGTCTTATATTTAACTATGAATAAAATACAAGATATATATATATATATATATATATATATATATATATATATATATATATATATATATAAACTAGTATATATACATAGTATAATATTACACAGTATAATATGTTCTCATACACAAACATAGTGTATTTTTTTTTGTGTGCTTTAAAATTTATAGAAATATGAAATTCCAATAATGTTAGACAATTCAATCAAACAAGAATAAAAAAGGCAAAAAAATTTTTATTCTGTAAAATAAATATTAATGGACACTTGGCTTTCATAAATATAAAATATTGATTAGAAATATATAATATAAAAATTTATAATATATATTATACTCTTTATTTAAAATATAAATGAATATAATATAGATACATAAAGTATTCATTAGTATCTGATCATATCGCAAAAAAACGATTTATTTAAGAAATACGTATTCTATTTCACATATATAAATAGTTTAAGTTTATTATAAAAATAACGCTTTTCTTAATCAAATATTTTTAAAACTTAATGAATATTGTTATCCTTAACATATACTTTTATAATGCTTATGAAAATATGCTTATGAATATCTGATTATGTTAGGAGATATGCTTCCCTACGTTTTAAATACATAGAAATATTTTTCAATTTTTATATCGTATAGAATTATTTTGAAATATCTA